GTCATGATATCATATCCACTATAACAACATTTGTGGACCAAGTTTTCATGACATTTGTCATGACATTAAATCCACTATTAGGCCAAGGATTTCTTGCTATAAATAGAGGAGCTTCTCCTCATTTGTAAACACACCAATTCAAGAGCTTTTCACTCTTGTCTTTCTTTCTCCTCCTTTATTTATTAAGAGTATTTTGTAAGAGAGTTGAGTGTTGAGAAATATTTGTGTGAACCTTTTCTTTGAAGTGATCTTGTGAGGTTATTCTCTTAGGGTATTTGGGATTAATTAGAGTATTTACTCTAATTTTGTACTCTCTTTTGTACTCTTGCTGGCATAGTGAAATTGTTCCTCTCTGCTTGTGGATGTAGGTCACACTGACCGAGCCACGTTAAATTGATGCCTTCTTTATATGCTTTAATTGCCGTTGCTATCAACTTGCATTGTCTTTGTTATTATCATTATAACATTGTTTGTCTAAATTCCACACTATCCGGGTTCTCGATCCTAACAATTTTGATAAATTCGCTGTCGGTCTTTTGATATCTCAAGTGTCTTTTAATTTCTGACCATCATTCTTATAGAGTGAGTTGCTTCCTCTTCCTCTTGTGCATGACATTGGTTTTAGGAAAACATAAGCTATCCAAACATGTTGGATATACAAGACGATACACATACCCGATAGAAAGGAATAGATATTCTTTAGTAGTAATAAATTGTTGTTGTTTAGGATTATAAATGGAAAAATGGCGATTCATTGGTCCTCGAAAAATTAATTCACCATTCTCTGTGCAACACAAAATATTACTGTATTTTACAAAATAATGTTGGCAAAGTTGTGGCACGTGGCGAAGTTTCATTAATCATTTTTAACCGTCTTCTTCCATGATCCAGATATTCAGTTCTAACTCTTTACTCCATATGTTGTTGTTGGATTTGCCGCCATATAAACTAAGACGACCTTTAAAAGTAGTCAACTGAAACAACTCATTAACACCGACAAAATTTGGTGTTGAAAGCTCGTTCAGTTCGTCTGACTTCACATCAGAATATATAATTGAAGAAGCTCTACTTACATACTGGTCAAATTCTTGATCCAGAGACCAATATACACAACCCTCAACGCTAATTCCTTGACCGCATAAATATGACCATGAATTAATTTCTTGTTCTAAACTAGGGAGACATTGTTCTAAGATTGGAAGAGTTGTTTTTGTCGTCCAATTGTTGCTATTCACACAACAAACAACGTGAAACAAGTTATAAATCAATATAACCTTGTAATCGTCAGTTGCAGAATTATAACACACACCACAAGCGCGAGGAAGCATGTAATGTAGGACTCCATAAAGCTTGCAGTAAATAGATTTGATCAAAACAGGACATATATGGGCATGGATGATACTGGTTCTAGTCTGTTCCAATCACTTTTGATTACCGGTAGCTAAAAAATTCAAACATTGGACATGGGATCACGATGTTCTTTTTTTCCTTTTTTGGCATTTCATCTTTTGATCAGTCAATTATAACCACTTCACATATTGAGGAGTGAGGACTTAAGTCCGATTATTTAAAAAGTTAAGGAAAACAACATACAACATTGTTTTTAATTTCATGATCCTCCTTTTTTTTTTTTATACACATAAGAGATTTATCTTGTACACATAAGAGATTTAAAAAGGACACTTTCTTTTTTCATTCCTATACACTATTTGAAACTTTATTACGAAAAATGTTCATGTTTTGATATTTACCCGACCTAAACACATTTTAGTTACAAAATATATACAATCCACCTTAAAAGGCTCTCAATCCATTATTTGTATCTTCAATCAAGGGATTTAGTTACACCATTTTCCTTTTTTTCTCTCCTCTCTTCCCTCTTCTCTCCGGATTCTGTTTGCTATACCCTTGATATCTAAGTTCTTTTCTTCTCTTTGAATTTTCGATGTAAATTACTGCTCTGCGTTTTTCTTACGTTTTCTTCGTGCTTGACTATATCCATCAGATTATCAACAGAGCTCTTCCACGTGGCAAAACCCAGCTTTCTAAAGCCCACCAGCAACCCGTCAGAATCCTTTTATTTCTCATTCTGATTTTTGGCAAAAAGAAATAAATTCTTTCTATCAATTGGAATAAAGTTTCAGAGTTTTTTCAAATGCCTCCACTGTTAGTGATTTCGAGACTGAGGGGGATCGAGCATGTAAATAGCTGATTTCACCAAATTCAACATATTGACACAAAATATAAATATACATATTGTTTACATTATTATTTCTACCCAGTTAAATACAACTACAATATCTTACAACTTAAATATAATTTTTATACAAATTTTATACAAATATGTCTTTTGTATATTTTGTATCTGATTTATACAAAGTAAAAATAAATTTCATGCAACTAACTATATATTATACAACTTATCTACAACTTATCTACAACTTTCATACATTATTTCTACCTAGTTATATACAACTACAATATCATACCACTTAAATATAATTTTTATACAAATTTTATACAATATGTCTTTTGTATATTTTGTATCTGATTATACATAGTAAAAATAAATTTTATACAACTAATTATATATTATACAACTTATCTACAACTTATCTACAACTTTCATACATTATTTCTACCCAATTATATACAACTACAATATCATATAACTTAAATACAATTTTTCTACAATATTGTTCAACTTTCATACAATATTTAAATAAAAAATATATATAAATAACATAATACAATTTTATTACAATTTCATAAGTATAATGTATGCCATGTCTTCTTCTTCTTCTTTTTCTTTTTCTTCTTCTTCTAGTTTCAATCTGAAATTCAGCCAAAATCAAGTCTAATCTTCATCAAAACACCCTCAAAATTGAGATATAAACTCCAAACAATATTTCTAATTATTTGCAATAACACCCAATCCAAACAAATAATGATTTTTGAAAACCCAAATTCGAATTCAAAGTTTCAAAGCTTTTTAATGGCTGTCAATAGTGGAATTGCTGCTCTATTTTCCTTTGCTCTACATTACTGAAATTAAGGATTGAGAGATAGAGAGAGACATAGAGAGAATTCCTAATTGTTTGCAACAACATCCAATTCAAACAAATAATGATTTTTGAAAACCCAAATTCGAATTTAAAGTTTCAAAGCTTTTTAATGGCTGTCAATGGTGGAATTGCTGCTCTCTTTTCTTTTGCTCTACATTACCAGAATTAGGGATTGAGAGAGAGAGAGAGAGAGAGAGAGAGAGAGAGAGAGAGAGAGAGAGAGAGAGAGAGAGAGAGAGAGAGAGAGAGAGAGAAACGGAGAGAGCGCATGAGGAAGAGAGAATAAGGATGAGAAATAATTGATTCCTAATATAAATGGATACTAATTAAAATTTCTAAAGTGTATATAATTGGTAAATTTGTATATAGGATGTAATTGAATTGAACCTTGAGTATGGAGGGTAATAAAGTTTTAAATAGTGTATAGGAATGTAAAAATTCCCTTTCTTAATTTCAACATTGTAAATGACTATGGAGGCCCATTTTCTCTTTACTTATCGATTTGGGGTCAAATGATTTTATGGGTTTTTACAAACTTATTTTTAGTTTTATGACTATATCTTTTTTACACACGAGAGATTTACTTTTACATATAAAAGATATAAAAAAACACTTTCTTAATTTCTACATTGTAGTAATATTTATTGTTTGTTCTCCTTCCCATTTACTTCAAAATCAATTAAACGCTTTAGCTACAATTATTTTACTTAAGGTGTTCCTTCCGCTTTTTTACATAGCAATAATTTTATGATTTAGAGGTGTATCTAAAGCGCATACACTAAAATTTAGTGAAAATGTTCATTTAGCGCGCGGTGCAGCCAATGGGTATCTGTAACAGCTAAAAGGAAACTAAAAGAAAAGATTAACAATATGAAAGTATGTATCACTTAATTAAGTAATAGATCAATGTAGATCTCACAAATTTTCTTGTGCATTTCAGAAAAGGACAAAAAAGAAGAAGATAAGACATACCTTCTTGTGCTTGGGGCCTGATCTAAACATAGGAATTTAGGTTTTCACGTCACTTAAAAAATATAATGTTACACTTGGTCAACAATGAACTCTTGGAATTGAAATCCCTTCATACTAAGTTAGTATATGGGCTTGGTTGAACAGGCTTGTCTGGCTGGGCCATCAGATCCAATGGAAGCTCATTACTGCTATCATTCTGGGGCAGCACAGGATCTAAGCAAGTTTTCGAACTGGTAATTGAAAAATAATCATCGTTTGTAAAGTCATTAAAAAATAACCATTATTTTGCTGTAACACGGAATGTTCCAGCATAATATACGAGAGATTGGAGCACTTGTGTATGAACTTCTAGCATATTATGTTGGAACTCCAGCATACGGAAAGTTCCAGCATAATATACTGGAGATTGGATCATCTGTGTATGGACTTTCAGCATATTATGTTGGAAATCAAGTACATTATAAAATTTCAGCATGTTATGCTGGAAGTTCACATATAAAAAAATTGAACTCCAACATATTATGCTGGAATATTTTTCGGATTTTGAACAGTGTTTTTGTTCAGATTTATCTTTTAAATGAAAAGTGGCTAAATTTCGATGATTTTGAAAACTGTGGCTATTTTGAACAGACTATTTTTGAATTTCTCCCGGTAAACGACCAGTAGGACTAGAGACCCAGGCCCAAGAGCTGCCACTTTTTATAAGGGAAGTTACACATTTGCCAGCTCGATCAAAAATATGTACAACTTCGATTTACATTGATTATAAACTAATTATACACGACTATATATATATANCACAAATAGGATAATTTAAGTGCACTGTTTATATTTTGTCTTTATTTAAGGAAGTTTTGCTAAAAAGGCCTTAGAGCTATATTACCGGACGAATTAAAAAAAAATAACCAACACTTTTTCCGATCAAATCACAATTTTTATATTTTGTTACTAGGAAAACAAGACTTGAATATTCAAAGGCTATACTCATTCATGCATTCAAAGTCAATATGTAATGGTTACAATTTTTATAAATTTCAATTTTGGATTTTGCTACTGAAAATCCATATATAGATGATATCTTTTGTCTGGTGTAAGTACAAGGATATGTATTTCTTCTTCTTAAACTACAGAAAGGAAAAGAAAAGAAAAAGGATTTTCCACCAGAAACTCAATCCTTTCATACTTTTATTTTCCTTCACTTTACCACTTGGTCTTTCTAATAATGAAGAGCTCAATTATTTTTTGCATGGTAATTTGCTTGAGGCTTCGAATATAAAAGGTCCAACACCATGGAAATCAAACATGGGTGGCTGGACAAGGGCAGGACCAGGATTAACAGGTGGTTTAGGTGGTAGGATAGGTTTCAATAAAGCACCAGATTTTCCACCATTGAAGTTTGTTGGGACATTGCAAATGGGTTTCGTTGATTTCACTAAGTATACCTTGCATTTGTGAATATCTGCTCTGGTTAAAGGCATGGGCATGATCACGAATTCACCATTCTTGTCTGTCATGGCTGTTTGAACATTTGCCTTCCTTGCATTATTGTGACAAACTAGCTTCACTACAGCTCCTGCAAAAACAGTACAACCATTGAAATCAAAAGCTCAATCAGAAGAGAGAAATAATGAAGTAAAAAGTAGACACTCCAATTTACTAATTAATAGGAGTATGGATTTAATTAGGTTATGTACACTAACAATAATTTTCTTTTTACACGTACGTGTATTCTCTTGTTCCAAGATTATTTAAAATTGAAAGAGTTCATAAACACTCAATTCATTAAATTTGTATCCAAAATTTAATATTATATTTGTTACTAAGATTTTAGTAACTTTTCACTCGTTCACTCAAAATTTAATACTCCTATTATATTTGTTACTAAGATTTTAGTAACTTTTCACTCGTTCAGTTGAACCCAGTAGCACAAAGGCTGCACTCGTCTTTGTGTATTTTAATATGTTACGTTGTATAGTAACATGTCTTTATTTTCTGTTTTACGTGTATAAGAAGGTTTAGTGATTTGTTTTAGTAATTGCAAATAGAATGAGATGGTAATGAAGAGAAAATTAAGGTTGTGAAATAACCCTGGAGTGGTGAAGCTTTATAGAGAGTGGGAAGCCCTCTGCTGTTGCAAGATTTGCAATGAACACGGCCGACGACAATTAGAGGCTTCCCAGCAGGATGAATCAAGGGTGGTGGCAGCTTAACTGGTGGAGTCAGAGTTGGTGGAGATGGTGTTATAATAGGTGGCTGATCCGTTGGTGGTGCAGGCTCAATAATTGGTGGCTCGTAATCAGAAGGTGGTGGCTCTACGGTTGTAGGCTCATGATCAGAGGGTGGAGCAGGTGGCGAGTCAACAATTGGGGGTTCATCATAAGTAGCTGGTGGCGGAGGTGATGATCTAATAGGTGGTGGAGGTGGCTGAGTATATGCTGGTGGTGGTGGTTTCCTTATTGGTAGCTGAGTAGCTGGTGGTGGTAGTTTTGGTGGCTGAGAAAGTGGCGGTGCCCGTTGCATTGCCGGTGGTGGTGTTGCTCGTTGCGTTGCTGGTGGCTGAGCAGCCGGTGACGGAGATGGAGGTTTAATAGGTGGCTTAGCAGATGGTGGTTGCTTTGCTGGTGGCGGCGGAGGTGGAGGTGGTTGTTTTGGTGGTTGAGATGGTGGTGGAGGCAGCAGAGGAGGTGGTGACTTAGCTGGTGGCGGCGGTGGTGACTTAGCAGGCGGCGGAAGGGATGACTTAACCTGTGGTGGTGGTGATGGTGATGGCTTGTTTACCGGTGTAGGGCTAGAGGGGCTTTTCTTGGGAGACTTTCCAAAGAATAAGTGAACTGTTGAGAAGATTGGATGGTGTTGTCCTTTGTCTAATGACGAGCTTTCAATTCCTTTACCAAAGCTAAGCTCTGAGAATGAGCTGAGTGCTAAAACTGAAACTTGTATGAGCACTAGGATCTTTACTGATGTAAAAGCCATAGCTGTAAACAACTATGGGTAAAAGGAAATAAGGTGAATGAATTTATAGGAGCACGAAAAGGTATATTATGAAGTTTATGTCATTAAATATAAATAAAGGAAAAGAAAATTGAAAACCCATTTTTCATATGAAGTACTCCTCCATCTCATATTAACAGTCGTGGTTACTAAAAGTAGTTATCTCAAATTATTTGTCAATTTAAAAGTTCAAGATGAAATTGATTATTTTTTTTCTTTTTTACCTTAGTAATAATTGTTCTTAAAGATGGAGATAACACAAAAATAGAATAAATATTCAATGAAGAGAGATTATATCTTATGACATAAATAATGGTAGAATAGTTCAATTTCTTTCCTAATTAATATTTTTTAAGAGACGTGTAAAAGAGAAATACGACATATAATATAAGACAGTGGGAGTACTATTTAACTCGTTTTTGTTTTCAGCTGGTAATAGTTCAATATTCATATTGAGCCAATTAATGTGAATTCACATTGCTTAAAACTTATTAAAGAGAAAATAACTCTGTATCAGGTTACTATTTCCGCTTCTTGTAATGTTTGACTTTCCTAAACTTTCAAAATTTTGTCTGTTGATACGTTTAAAATGAATAAAATGTCAAGAGTCAAGACCAACATATGAGATATCTTGCAGAAGTATAGTCTATGTAGCAAATTATCATATTAATCACCTATTTGTGTTTGGGGTCCTGTAATTTAGGCTAAGAAGCAAAGTTTCGTTTATTTCAAGAAATAGGTTAATGACGGTTTATTTTAAATTAAGCACATATTATGTTTTGATATTCCGGTAACAAACGTTGTCGTACCATTTTCTCTCTTTATTTCAGAACATTCTTGGACCTGCATTTTTACATTTAAAAACTCCATCACCATAGCAGAAATTTGATCAAACATAGGACATGGGCATAATTAATAGTCTTTCGTTGAAGGAATTCCATGTGATAAGAGTATTTTAGTTGGTTGAAAAACGACCAAACATTAGACATGATATAGTTTTTCTTTTCTCATTTTGCTGTTTCTTAAAACAAACATTGCAATTAATTCGACCAAGTAATTAATGTTATTTCTAAGAAACTCTTTAGATCATTTAAGAATATTGTGATTTTGTGAGAGACATACCTTTATTCTTCCTTTTTTTTTTCCTTTCTCTAGTGTATATACTGGATGTTTATCAATTTCTTTATCTAGCCGTACATTGATTACTCATAATTTTTCAAAATTAAGCTAAAGATGATCTCGAGCATTGATTACTCATCAGCTTTCTCTTATCTTCTCAATTTTTTGACCTTTTCAGTTTTGGGCTTAACCACGCGGAAGATGATAAGTAGTTATTACTTATTACTCTAGTATTATCTTAAGAAAATTAATTGTTGATCATCTGCTTGGGATTTTCCTTTGGTTTAAAAGTGAAGGAAAAGGGAAGGTACATCTTATGGAATTAGTTGAGTTGAACACACGTTGACCCGAACACCATAATTATAAAAAGTGAAAAAAAAACAGTGTAGATTATCTTATCCTTTTCCCCATTTATTAAGAATCAACTCAATCCCTTTAGTTACAATTATCTAGGTTTCTTTCTTCCTGTTTACCATTTCACTTTTTCTACCATTGCATAATGTGTAGTCCTCAACTCGAAGCGTGTGGTACTGTCTTTTTTGCACTAATTTGTCCCGGAAATTGAATATGGAAAGAGGTATAGCTAAGATTTATTTATCCGAATCCAGCAAGCCTCGATTCTCGACCCCAGATCAGAGAAACCCTAAGAGCATTGTATACGATCGAAATGCCCGATTTCGTTGGAGGGGAGTTGCCTTGAGGGTAATCTCATAATATATCGGGCTCGAGCTCGAAGATAGAACATCAAGCCTGGAGATCGAAGTGTTCATTGAGATCGAGGCCAGCAACAATTGAGATCAAGCATGACTGACTTCGAGTAAGGCGTAATAACGGAATAGCGAGATATCAGTAACCGGTTGAAAATCACGGCGGAAATCCCGTAACAGATCAAATCAAAGCGGTTATTAGTGCCAATCATGGGATCTACTTTCGTTATTAGAGTTGTACCTTATTTAGGATTCCTCTATTATATAAAGAGGGATCCCATTCACTTGTAAGGGGGACAATCACTATTCACTGATAAGAATATACACATACGCTGCTTTCTTTGTTTTACTTACTGTTCATCGCTGTTTGTTCCATCCTCTACTGTTCTTATTAAATAACCTCGAGACTATCTCGAATCGAGGTCGAGGCATTGTTTGCAGACCGATTTGATTTATTTTATTGTCCAATTTATCTATTTAATTCGTTGTTTATCAATTGGTACTGGTTTAAATCACATATCCTTAAAACCACAATATAAGTTTAATTATTACTCAATTTTTAGGGTAAACAGTTTGACGCCCACCGTGGGGCTAAGGATAATAGTGATTGTTCAGTACTGATTCTGGTAAAACACACTATTTTATGCTTGTTCTTGTCAAGTATATTTGCTTTCAAGTTAAAACATGTCAAACTCACAAAATGTATCCACACACGGTGACAATGGCCTCAGATTCCACAGTGAAAATGAAAATGTGATTGTTCCAAGGAGTCGAGCTGCCACAGGCTAATCTCGGGGGAGCACCGGTTGCCAACCCAGTCGATGTCAGTTCACACGTTGCTCTAAACGCGAATCTAGGCGCAGATCTCGATGGGAGTGTACACAGAGAAGGCCGATCTAGTGGCCAAGGAACACAGGGCAGAGGAGACGAAGGAGTCAGTCTCCAAGTGATATTCGAGATGCTTCAGGCTCAGCAAGCCGCTATTGCTCAGTTACAAAATCAACATAGAGCTCCGAATAAGGTTGAGCCAGAAATTATTCGCAGTACCAAGCCAGTACCGGTAAAGGTCGAATGGTAACGATTCGGGGACTGATCTTGCGGTAATGAAAATGCTCGAGGAGCTCACCAAAAGAATTGAATCAGGGGAGAAGAGAATCGAAGCCAACGATAACAAAGTGGAGACATACAACTCTCGAGTTGATCAGATACCGGGGGCACCGCCAATCTTGAAAGGGATGGATTCGAAGAAGTTTGTACAAAAGCCGTTTCCTCCAAGTGCGGCTCCGAAGACTATTCCAAAGAAGTTTCGTATGCCATACATACCCAAATATAATGGGATCACCGATCCCAACGAGCATGTTACTTCATATACGTGCGTCATCAAGGGTAACGATTTAGAAGATGATGAAATCGAATCTGTACTGCTGAAAAAATTCGGAGACCCTTTCAAATGGAGCAATGATTTAGTATCATAACCTGCCACCAAATTCCATCGACTCATTTGACATGTTAGAAGATTCTTTCGTAAAGGCACACACCGGGGCCATAAAGGTCACAACGAGGAAATCAGACCTTTTCAAGGTAAGACAAAGGGATAATTAGAAGAGAAAAACAATGTTAGTACTCCCCATTCCAAATTAGTTGTCATATTTCACTTTTCGAGAGTCAATTTAATTAATATTTAAAATTAAATTAAATTAGTTTAATTTAATATTTTAAAATTAAAATATAAATATTCAAAAACTATTTATATGGGATGGAGGAAGTATTTTTCAAGTATTCAAGTCCAGTTTAACTTTTGAGAAGCAAAATATGACAATTATATGGGATGGAGGAAGTATTTTTCTTTTCTTTTTCGAAACAAACAAATTGAGCGTACACTTGGCAGTTGGCAATGATGCCAATTATTTTCTAAAATAAATTCCCCCAAAAATAAGTCATTATATTTTTTTTTCTGAAAATAAGTCATTTTCTGCATTCAAACGGTATGATTCTTTTTATTAAAAGAAAAAATATGATTTTTTCGCTTATATTTTTCTCCAATAATCTATTGAATAGTAAAACAGAATTTCTTGTTAAGAATAATTTTCGAAAAACATTTTCACCGTATATAATTTCACCTTTTTTTTTCCAAAACAAATGGGACCCAAAATTCTAGTTATAAGGTTTGAATTTCCCTATATTAGCTCGTGTGGTAGGTAAGATATCAGTGAGCTTTCCTCATTCACAGCAAATTAATGGAGTCTCACTCTCTAACCATTCGCGCCAAATTCCCAAACCATTTCCACATTTCATCATCTCTTCCTCGTCTGGCCATTATCAATATACCAAACCCTAAATTTCTCTTCATATTACCTTCTTCTCCGATGCCTCTTCTTACATCTTCACGGCGACTTGAAATCCACCGCAGGAGGACCTCTTTTTCACGGCAGTCTTCGAATTCGAGCTCAAAGTTTATCGCACGCGCCGTGGGAAGTGATTCTGACCGCCAATCAAATGTGTCTAGAGAGCTAATCATTTTGAACTCTGCTTTAACTCTGGTGCTTGGGGTTGCGAATCGTGTACTTTACAAACTTGCCCTTGTTCCTATGAAGGAATACCCGGTTTTTCTAGCTCAGGTTACCACTTTTGGGTGAGTTTTATAATTTATTCTTACAATTATAGTGTGATCACGTATATACCTCATTTACCTGTGTGATATGATTTGGTTTATGTACCTTCAAAATTAGAGTTCTTTCCAGAACTAATTTAGAGGGTATTTGGGTAAGCTTATAAGCTGGTCGCTTATAATCACTTTTACGTTTATATTTCAAAGATCAGTTTTAACGCTTCAATACTTAATCCTTATTAGCTAGTACTTTCAATCAGCTAACCAAAATGGGCTCTTAATATTATCTCCAATTTAAAAAGAACGGCACTTACTATTTGAAGAGTGTGATTTTTTTTTTCCTTTGACTTCAATTTTTTCATTCATTTTATAAAATTAATGATAAAAGATTGTGACGTATAATATTTCTTTTTCTGAATTTGTAAATTTTATTTTTAAACCTATACTTGATTTGGGATAAAAAATTATATTTAGTGAATTGACCCTCTACTTTATACTGGATTCTTTAAGAGTATATTGTAGACTTGCCTTGAGGTATTTTTCAGCCTAGACTTCAATGTGGCTATGAGTATTG